ATTGAATTAATGGCCACTTCTACTTCAAATTATACCGTAAAAACTTTCTAGCTTCCCCACTGTCAAATTCAATTGTAATTCCAACATCTGTTTCAAAATATACATGAAATGACATTAAATAACCAAACGTGGAGAAGCAGCGTTTAGTTCTTATGATCCTTTAAGCTAAAATAATGAACTACCAGAAAACTAAAAGTGCTGAAACCCTAAGATGCTTTCAATCGCGATTAGAACATATTTGTTTAGAGTGGCCTTCGACTGTGCTATCTAAACGTTATTAGTTAGGATTCCAGTCCAAGTTTTTATTCATTACTTTAATGGTTTTTTTTAATATAGTATTGCTTATTTACTGATTGTTCAACAACAAACAACATCAGCAACAAAGTAAACAATATTATCTCAATTATTCATTTTTATTCTCATTAATTATCTGCATTACCTCTTTTCCAGTACAGTTTACTTTTCTTTTTATAATGTACAGCACTTTGAATTGTATTACCACTGAAATGTGCATTATAAATAAACTTGCCTTGCCAAAATCTACATTTTATAGCTGGCAGTTTATGGAACTCGATACTAGGGGTGTAAATAATAATCGTTTTGTATCGATGCATCGATCCAACAGCCGACGATCCGATGCATCGACACGTCCGCAAGAGAATCGATTCATGTTTTTTTTTTTCCTCCGGTCTATTTTTATCTATTTGCTCCTGGACGTAATTCTCCCTCCCGTGCTGCGGTGGCGCTAAACCTATTTTGCCCTCCTACCTCGCTTCCTGGTTATACTCTTACAGCAGTTTGTTGCAGCAAGCTTCACACAGACATTTTTAAATTATGCCCAGTATTGAAGCGTGATCTGTGCTACACGCTGTGGGTCTAGATACGGCCGAGGCGGCGAGGAAGTGGGGGCGAGTTTAGTCCAACGACGGAGGGACATGAGGGCCAAAAAGAGCGGAGATCCAGGTGGAAAAAGGGTCCCAGCGTTCTCGCGCACCTCACTCTTCTAGCGGGTCAAACTTCACGAGTTGTTTTCCGCAATTTCGGTCATAAAAACAAAACAAGCCGGCCTCCTGTCTGCGGCACTGTTTGCGGTCAGCTACAATTTGGGAGAGGAGCAGCGGAGCGTCTGTGGAGGGGGCGGGGACGTCTGGAGCCGAGGTATTGCATTGAACTCATTGCTTTGATTATGTGCAGTATTTTTGCAGTATTTTTTGATGCAACTTTTCTACTTCTGTTATTTGCTGTTGTTTCTAAAAAAAAATGCAGAAGGATATTACAGCTTTCATTGATTTATTTCAAACTTGAAACTTTGTTTAGCCTGTAAGGTGTAAAAAAAATAACATAAAAAAAATTAACCAATTAATCGAATCGAATCGTATTCTGGTGTATTCTTGAGGATTGAAAATAATCAAATCGTTGGGTCAGGAAATCGATACTGAATCGAATCGCCATGATGGATGTGATTTACACCCCTACTCGATACGGTCCTATAACCAGATAATGAGGACAAAGAACAGTGTCAATAATTATCAATTCAATGTTTTTTATTAAAATACAAAATGAAATTAATGATAAAACATTAATAACTAATTACACTTATTTTTTTTTATGAAATAAATTTAACTAATTTCCATATAGAATGACCAAACGTTCTTGCTCAATAATCCCATTCAAGACTAATGAAAAAAGTGCAGAGCCCTACAGATGAATTAGTACTAGTTTAGCGCAGTTTGGTTGTGTCTGGAGCGGTCCGGTTCATTTTTGCGTTCCATTTACACTCAACAGTTACCTCGGTTAACGTGCTCGGACCGATCTCGGCACGGTTTCAAAACGGTAGTGTAAATGGGGCTATAGTTTTGAGTTGGACTTTCTTGCATACAAATACATTAAAACTACTTTTTACCCATTTATCAGAGCAAATATAGCAAAACTGCCCTCTGTCGTTGAGCATAGGAGCAGCAGAAGCATCAGACACATCTGGACACAAAGATGCTCTTGAGGCGCCTCTGACCTTAATGTGGACAAGCATCAAAAAATAAGTAGCAGGCACTTTTCTTGCTGCTTAAATCACATTAGGTGTGAATGTAGGACAAGCCTGACCTGCCGATTCTTAATTCGGCTGACACTGCTTTAATATTAATAACCAACCCTGTCCGATGTTACGAGGTCACAATAAACCTTCAATGATCCAAACTCATTTCATTTTGAAAAAAAACCCAAATATGAATCCATGAAAAAACACAAGCTAGCTTTAACAGCACATGAGGTATTGCTCGCAAAATATATGAAAATGGTATTAAACAATTAATAGCTGCCTATTTCCAGACCTTTATGGAAATAAATAATAGTGGTTTCACGTGTAAGAATTGTCCGACCATATAAAATGTAGAAAACTGGAACCCCCACTTCTAAAGAAGTACAAATACTTCCCTGTACATCATGCTGGTGAAGACTCTCAGTCAACCAGGTCATAGTCATTCCAAAAAAGTAAAACGAAAAA